GTAATGTCAATACAAGACGAATCAATCTAATCATCATAATGTAAATCTTTGACCTTCCACTCTCATTCAACTGTTTGCATAACTCAGAAAGTGTATATACTTGAAATCAAGACTCACCTTTCATATCTAACTCATAATGTGGCAACTCATATTCCAATGTAATAATATCTTGCTTTGAAAAATCTTGAGGGTAAAATTTCTCTGCAAGTGTGCAAATTTTTCGACTGTCAAACAATCTAAATGAATCTTTAGGATCCAAAGCTGTACTCAGAGAAAGGAGTTCTACTGATATGTCATTAAATCTTGTATTTGACTCCATCATTACAAAATATATTACTTCATTAAAAACATCATAGTGATAATAATGCTCAATTGTAGTTTCATCACTAGAACGGCTAGTGTTATACAAACCTTCTAGATCGGGTATTGTAATATTATTCTTTGAGCAAAAGGATTTTACTTCTTGAAGAAATTCTTCCCAATCGTCATCTCTCAATTTTTGAAGAAATTTTTTAGTGGTAGACACAAACCTTAAAGCAGTCAAGATGTTTTGGGATATTATTTGAAGGGCTTGACAAAGAACATCACTGATTCTCATTATCCTATGCATCAAATGCAAGATAAATATGAACTTAAAACTCACCAACTTTTTGCAAGCACCATGAGCTTTAGCTTGAGATCTATCGTTTGAACAATGATCACAAATATATTGAAGCACTTTGCGGGTTGCACCATACATATCTATCAAGCTCTTTATAGAGTTGTAATGTGAGCTCCAACGAGTAGCTCCCGATCGTTGCAGATTAACCATTTGACTAGCCCCACTTCCAGATTCAAGCTCCCCAGTATCCAACATACGTTGAATTTTCTCTTTATGAGAAAATTGCAACTCAGTAACTCATTTAGGAGAAGAAGTAATAACATTGACAATCTTGTCCAAATGAGAAAAGAAGTTCCAAATGACATGGACTTCTTTAGCTTCCGTGACCAATGTTAGTTGTAATCGATGAGCAAAACAATGGACATAGTATGCACAAGGACAATCTCAAAGAAACAATGCTTGAAGTCCATTCCAAGCACCTCGCATGTTACTAGCGACATCATACCCTTGTCCTCTCATTTTGTTTACCCGAAATTCATATTGAGCAAGAACATCACATATTTCATTTTTGAGATTCGATGAAGTAGTATCACTTACTCTTTTGATTGCAAAGAAACGTTCGATCAAACTATCGTGACTATTCACAAACCTCAAGATAATGGTCATCTGCTCTTGATTAGATGAATCTTGTACTTCATCAACAAGAATGCAAAAGCATTCATCCCCAACTTCATGTCAAATCATATGTCGTACTCTATTGGCCATAATATGCAAAATTTCTTTTTGAAAGGTTCGAGCAATGTATTGGGCATTTTGTGGTGCATTTTTCAAAACAACTTTACTAATATCTGGATTCAAATCTGCTGCATACTTTATTAGTTGTATAAAATTCTCACGATTACGTGAAGATGGAGATTCATCATTACCTCTGAACCCTAAACCTTGAAATGCTAGCCATCGAATACTTTTAATTGAAGTCATTATACGCAGACGACGTTTTCGAATTTCCTCTTTCGATACAGTATTCATTAACTTGTCAATATGCTGAGACGGTTTGATTGAATATTTAGCTCTAGTCTCACACAGTTTATGATATGCTGAATTAGCATGAACAAGAAATGCACATTTATTTCCATCTTTCACCCTCT